ATTCCTGCTAGAATTCAAGGTGAGGATGGAGTTGCTGGGGACAAGCCTTCCTCTTCGTCTCCTAATTCTCATCACTGACCACAAACATGCCTCACAATGCTGCAATGTTCCTTGTCTATCAGGTACTTTGCTTGTTATCCATTTCTTTTTTCATTGGTCAACAATTTAGTATGTCTATTAGAAGTGTTTTTAAGAGTTTGTAAACCGAAAATAAATCTTTATTTTCGGTAAAGAAACCTTCAAATGTAACAAAAATAAAAAACTATTTATTTTCGGTAAAAAAAATTTTGAAAAACATTTCTAACTTGTATCCAAACAATTTAATATCATAGTTGGAAAAAGGGACCACTTCATGAGATTTGTTCTAACATGTCATCTTTTGTTTTAAATGGAACAAAGAATGAAAACTGATCAAAGGCATTTCCCATGCAAAGCTGCAAATCAAGTAACAAAGTTATTGCCCCCATTGACTATTATACCTTTTTGAATTCCTCTCATGGATCTTGCTATGCAGGAGCATTGTCTACCAGAGTTGAAAACGTGGGAGGATTAAGATGGACACATTTTGATGATCTACACGATTTGTCTGGTTGGATTCGGCTCTTTTACTTATGGGTGTGCTTTATATATTTTTTAAGGAAAATATTTAAAGTGGGTTCACTACTTCCCTCGAATCAACACTCCTTGATATATTTATGTATTATGCACGTTATATCTACATGATACTTTGCTCAATTTATATATGGCTTTAAGCTGGATTCCGTGGTTTGTAACCGTTATTGTCGAGAATAGCATTGTTGGTTCATCCGATATCAAGTGATCAGAAGAAGTTTCATGTGGATTCTCGGTGAACCCCACTTCAAGAAAAACTCAAATCTAGTATGATTTTGATTTATTTAGTTATTCTCCTCTGTAGTAGAAAGAGATTTTGCTTTCCTTTTTTCCCCAACTACATTTAAAGGAGCACTTTAGTAGTCAAACACTTTCTTAGCAATGTAGTTCTGCGTCTGCTTCAATTTCAAGTAACACCATCGAGAAGGATGGCCAGTAATTTCTTATGTAATAGGCTTAGGTAATTTATTATGTCAAATAATTGTAACGATTTAGTCTTTCATTTAAAAAGAGTCCCCACTTTAGTGTTTATATTTTATTTATTATCTTTTATCTCTAAGGATATGTTTATTTTTACATTTGCTCAAATTTGAAAAGTAGTAAAATGTAATGAAACTATTTTACTTATAAAAAAATAAAGTTCAGGGTCTTGAGAAACCTAAAAACAAGCATGCACTCAATACCCAATGATCACATAACTTGTTAAACACCATCTAAGCATTTACATGATATACAAGCTCACAGAAAGATTAAAACGGCATGTGAAAATATGTGGAACCAAAGAGACAATATTTTAATGTTTTAAGGAAGATGATTGGGATTAACTCATGGTGATCCAATGTAGTTTCAAGTAATATTATCGTACTGTTATAAACTGTTTGTTTGTTGATTTGTCTGAGTTGGTTATTGGTTTGTGTTTATTACAAATTACAAATCCAGACAAATCTCTATGCCCAATCAAATTTCAACAACTTAGATTCCAACCATTACAAAATAAACAAACCTCCAATCCAAATCCTACTATAAAGACTCTTATGACCCAAACAAAGAACCTTTTATATCCAAAAGCAATTAAGATCCTACCTGTTTAAAGCAAACACAAACACAACGTCTTCTTCAACTTTAACACTAACATAGTAACATGAAAGCAACCACTAAACTCATACCTCCTATACATCACATGAAACAGAGAAGCCAAAACCACTCATCTTACAACATACCACTTAGCCAAAATCTCTGCCCCTAAATTAGTGGAGCCAATTAAGAAATATCCAAAAACTAACATTATATCCAAGCCTCTACATTCACCAACCTGTGCCACAATGTATCACACCTTGGCCCATAAACATTCACGCCACGAAACCACCCAAACCCACACATCCCTATGAAAACTAGGACCCAACAATATTCAAATTACGATAAATTATTACATAGTCTAGATTATTATGGTCTCAACTAATATTTACGTCACACAATTGAGTGTTAATAACCGTTTTATGTAAATGAAAAACATTAACTATGTATCACATAAAGATTAATCGAGGATATGGACACGCCGTAATCTGATACTATTTAGTAATTTCTCACCATTTACAACCCATGAATTCATATGTTTCATCTTTTTAATATGAGATTCACCTATCATCCTATCAAATTTTCAAATGTTATCACTTTGGTACCTAAAACATATTAACGTGGTGGCATTGCTTGAAACCTTCAAATATTAATGTGGCATTGCTTCAATCCTTCAAATACTAACGTATCATCACTTGAGTTCTTCAAAAATCTATAATCAGAAAAATAGTCTTTCTGCTAGCATGTGCGCCATAATTCTTAGGTAGCATTGCCGTGTGGTTGCTCAAGAGGCATTTAATAGGCTACATAAGCACTTAATGTGCTACATCAGGCTCCATTAAATGGATTTTTAAAAAGAGCGTAACAAAGAGACTAGCATTTTCAATAGTCAAGGGAATAAAATAGTAATAACACAAAAGTTTGACAGATGAAACTCACGAAAGTAATACCACATGAATACTTGAGAGAACACATGGTAGTTAACCGTAACAGGTGAATTAACTTTGTAGGATCCGGAAATTAATTTATTTTACATTGCTCATTTATGTAACCGTACAACTGGTTTTTGAAGCAGCAGAATGAACTGAATCATAAAATGTGTACTCATATTTCAAGAGCTTCGCAGTCAAACTATGTTGAAGTTATGAATAAAATAGAAGTACACATGGATGATTCAAAAAACTATGCAAAAGTTAGAGGAAATGTTAAAACAGTACAAAAGTGAAATAAATTCGAAAGTAGGGATTTCAGACTTAATACACCCATCATAGTTTATACATCCCCAAACAAGTCAGGGATTGACTAAGCCTTATTATTTAAATGCTGATCCTACCTAGCTAGAATCTTAATTATGCTAACTTGAACTTGAGGGCATAAATTTGTAATATAGGATTATAGGACGGCAAAGGAAAAACAACTTGTTGGCCCATTTGTCTAAATTTTGCATTGAACTGACGTTAATACGTGGAAAATGTGATCATGCTATTATATTCTATACTTCTAGTATGTTATGGTGGCGTCAGATAATTTATGATTCAAATATTCGCCAACGAAATTAGCTCAAATTTTCCCTTTCCCTTAAAACTTTCCCAACTACAACTTAAATGCCAAGTTGTCAACACTGTGCAATTTATCCACAAGGATGAATGGGCTTATTGAAAATAGTAGCAGATGGAGAAGTATTAGGTGTAACTTGTAAGGCATTAATTTTGATTACTCGGGAGCTTCATATATTTACTTTATGAAAATTAATATTGGGTCATCATTCTTCATATCATTTAGGAGGACCGGTATTCGCAGACCTACTTATATTGATGTGTCATTGACTTCTCAACAGAGTATATTGTTCATGGTTATGGGCCCATGCTAGGATTTTCCCTTGATGCATGTATGATGGTTTATAAAAAATTCAATGTCATATGAACTTGATTCTTGTAGATGTTTGTGATACATCACATGCAGATGTTTTATGTGTTGAAGATGTTTTATGAAATGTATAATTTTACTGGCGATTGGAAATGTGAACTGAGTGGAGGCCTGGAAAAAATAAATAAAAATAAATTATATATATATATA